TCGACTGTTTTTTTGTCACACTGATCAGACCTTTTCAGTTGTTCCGGCTGCGTCGGTGGGTTTGGCTGTAGCCAATTTTTTGGTGGTGCCAGCAGCTGGTTTCTGACCACTGCTCGGCGTTCCGTCAAGTGCGGTGCTCTTAGAAAGCGGTGGTGATTTTGTGCTTGATGCAGCAGTGCCTTTGGCGATGGTGCTCTTAGGTGCAGTCTTAGGTGGCACCTTTTTGCTCGTATCTGTGCTGCTAGCATCAGAGGCTGGAGTTTTAGTGAGTGAAGTTTTTGGTGCAGTTGCAGGCTTAGATGGTGCAGGTTTAGCTGCAGTGGTTTTAGCTGGAGTTGTGGGGCTTGCAGTCTTGTTAAGTGCTTTCTTGGGTTTGGTTACCTCATCGGTTTTCTTCCCGGTGGCTGTCGTTGGTTTTGGAGCTGATTCGGCTTTTTTCGCCTCTTCTTCGGCGGCTGCTTTGGCCGCCTGGGCTGCTTGCCGGCGCAGGACACGCTCTGAAAATTTGAATTATACAATGGAAATATTTTGATTGCACCTTTTTTTTGGAATTTTGTACAGAACTTTTTAGATGACAGCCGAATGTTTTCCGAGTTCATGAGCTAAAACATGACAGATTGAAAGCAGCAGAAACTGATTTTGAGTATAATCAGCGAGGATTTCGAGTGTTGTCAAGGATATGGTGAACAAGGACTCATCAAATAATGATCACAACTCACTTATTTCACCGTTTCTGAGCATTGCATTCTCGATTTTATGCCTTCCTTCAGGTAAACGCAGATTTATAGATACTTTTATGATGCCACGATTCTCAAAAATCGCATCGATTATCTCCTTTTCGGATGTTGTTGAGAATGTTACTCCCTGCAAGTGTACAGTGTAAACGTGATAGGATTGTGAATCAGCGGTGATTCGAGAGAACCAAATCGAGTTCATGATTTGAAGCAGATAACGGGCAATCGAAAGTATCGGCTGAATAAATTTCTGCTATGATATTAGATCGCACAACAACAATATTCATCCAAAAAAGAGTGATTTTAACGAGGTTCGTTTACAGTGATCTGAATTTTTGTGGACTCTGTGCAATGGAAATATTTTGATTGTATTAATGTTTTGATGGAATTTTGCACAGAACGTTTCAAATGCAATGGAAATGTTGTTGTGTTGTTGACGAATTCACAAACCTGATTGACGGCCTTTACCTCTTCGAGAGTTTGATTCTTTAAGGCAGCTTTGAATAATTTTGCAAAGAAATCACCGCTTAGATAATTCGTCTCTAAATTTATCGACTTCAACGTTTCATTATTCTCAACAACATCGATCAAAGGCTGCAATGATACTCGTTAACGCTTCCTGAGTTTCACTGATAACTTATCAATCGTGACAAAGTAGCAATCGCACAAATGAATATCTTAAAAATTATTCAGCTTGACCATTTTCTTCTTGTTATATCAACAATCTGTTTAGCAACTGTTCAAGCACTCCTCAAATCTGAAGTCTCAAAGCCACTGAGCGTCAAAAATAGGAATAGCTGGAATGAACAGAGTTGGAATAGCCATAAAATCGAGCGAGCGAAAGAATGATGCAATAGGATGTTACCTCAACATTTGAATCGTATAAACCCATATTGGCTAGTG